CAGCATCTTACGCAGTATATTCTACAATAAATGTTTCTTCAATAAAAAAAAAAATGCTCCATTGTATGTATTTCTTTGTTACGCTGAGTAACATAGAAAGGTAGAATTTTACTGTAAATAATTACTGTTTTACCATGTTTGAAAAATTGATTTTGAGATAATGCACCTCAAGGATTTTCAACATCTTATAAGAGGATAATCAAACATGACTAAAGATACTACGGTTGCTATAACTTACACATTAAATTATGTCAGTAAATGTCTTAGCCACAACTTTTCTTGCTTTATAGACAAGAACATTTATAGTATGTTTAGTATACCTGGGTATATAATTTCTAGTTATTTCATCCATCAAATTTTAAAAATTAATTATTCCTGACATAACTGATACTTCTTTTATATAACTGAATTCCAAGATTTATGTTTTATGCATATGCTAAAAATCAACTGACATGGAACTCAGTTTTTGGTGTAGCACCCAGAAACGTATTATCCATGTCAATAATCCTGAAGAGATTCACATTTTATGGAATATATAAATTAAAAATAAAAACTTTCTAGCAAATGTGTTTCTAAAATAAAATTTATATATAGTGCACAAAAAACCATTTTCCTAGTGATTGTTGACTTCAAAAGGGGGACACTGGATTTTACCATCTGTTTGGATAAAAGGTTCATGAACTTTTTTTGCTGGAGTACATCATGGGGGCAGTTTTGAGCAGAGGCACTGGAAAAGTGGAAAGTCCAAATTTTCACCAAGATCCATATGACTGAGTCAAGCATCAATGAGAAAAAGGCAAGCCGTGGTGGTGTAATGGTTAAGTACTTGGCTACTAACCAGAAGGTCAATGGTTCAAATCCACCAGCTGCTACACAGGAGAAAAGACCTGGTGATCTACTCCCCTAGCTGTTGTTGTGTGCCATCAAGTCGACTCTAACTCATAGTGACCTTGTAAGACAGACTAGACTGCACTATCAGGCTCCTCAGGCTGTAATCTTTATGGGAGTAGGTCGCCAGGTCTTTAATCCCTAGAAGCCACTGGTAGGTTTGAACCACCAACCTTTTGGTTAGCTGCTGAGCGTTGAACCACTGCACCACCAGAGCTTCTTCCCATAAAGATTAGTCTAGGAAGCACAATTGGACTAAATCAAAGCTAAGAAGTTTCCTGAATACAAACACTTTGAGGGACAGAGTAGCAGGGGTAGGGGTCTGGGGACCATGCTTTCAGGGGACATCTAGGTCGACTGGTATAACAAAGCTTATTAAGAAAATGTTCTGCATCCTACTTTGGTGACTGGCGTCTGGGGTCTCAAAAGCTTGCAAGTGGCCATCTAAGATGCATCTACTGGTCCCAACCACCTGCAGTAAAGGAGAATGAAGAACACCAAAGACACAAGGGAAGTATTAGCCCAAGAGACAGAAACGGCCACATAAATGAGAAACTTCATCAGTCTGAGACCAGAACTAGATGGTTCCCAGCTACCACCAATGACTGCCTACCACCAATGACCACCCTGACAGGGAACACAACAGAGAGTCCTTGATGGAGCAGGAGAAAGGTGGGGTGCAGAACTCAAATTCTATAAGAAGACCAGACTTAATGGTCTGACTGAGACTGGAGGTACCCCGGAAAACATGGCCCCTGGATTCTCTATCAGCCCCGAACTAAAATAATTTCTGAGGCCAACTCTTCAGACAGGGATTGGACTGGACTGTGGGACATAAAGTGATACTCGTGAGGAGAGTGCATCTTAGCTCAAGTAGATACAAGAGACTAAACGGGCAGCTTCTGTCTGGAGGAGAGATGGGAAGGCAGAGAAGGTGAGGAGCTGGCTGAATGGACATGGGGTATAAGGGGTGGAAAGGAGGAGTGTGCTGTCACAGTATGGGGAAAGCAATTAGAGTCATATAACAATGTATGTATAAATCTTTGTATGGGAAAAAATGAAAAAAAAAAAAAGGATTAGTCTAGGAAACCCTATGGGGCACTTTTACTGTGTCCTACAGAGTCACTATGAGTCAGAATTGACAGCACAGAATAGCAGCCACTACCTATAGCTTAGAGTAACTCAACATGATTTAGAATTCCTATTTCAATATGCAGTATTTGCTCAAAAACTCCCCATGGGATAACATTAAAAACCCTTTAATAGAGCAAAGACACTGGTCATTAATAAGATGAATATGGTAGATATTATAAAAGAAAGGAAAAAAATTAAAAAGAAAACAAAGATCATATATCCAATAAGTAATTATCAGGAATAGCAGATCTACTTATAATTTACAAATAAATATAATTTCTTTTGTTCTTCCCAGCTCCTGCACACAGATAACCATTACCATCATTCACTTATCCTCGAAAAAAATCATAAAAATGTAAATGCATTCTTTTCATGTTTTGCAAAGAATTAAACGTTTATGCCAATATGTGAGGTAACGTCCTAAATCCAACCATCAGCAATGTGATCTTCAACAAATCATTTAAGTACTTCAATTTTCCCTTTATTTAAGGAACTAAATATAGGATGACATCACTTCCTGCTCACAAAGGAGGATTATGTAAAAGATATAAGTAAAAGTGCTTTGAGAAAAGTAACACGCAATAAACAAATATATATATATGTGTATATATACATATATATAAAATAGTGAAGAGGTATTTAATAACATGATCTAGTAGCTAATGATAAATAAAACTTTTTAAATCCTCTTAATTATATGTATGTATAAAAGCTTAGAAGAAACCTAAAGTTTAAATTACAAGCCATAATGCTGGAATAAATAATTTTGCCTCCTAGAAGTGAAATATGTAAGTTCTAGTAAGATTCTTTTATGAAGAACCAAAACTTCCTACTCCGAGGAAAATGTAAAAATGTTGTAAGTATATATTTGGGGATCACATTCTGGACTTGGGATATCTCCCAATTAAATGTGAACACTTTGGCATGTTTATTTTAATAAATCCTCCATATGAGGCATCACTGCATTTTATAGACTCCATCCATTTTACGTGATGCCAGGTTACTAGCTCCTTTTATACCGAACCACAATGATCTAGTTCCCGTTCTATTAATTTTTAGCTTTTTTAAAATATCTGAATTTAGAATGGTCATATGATTTTGTTCAGATAAACACATACTAAGGTCAATGCCTAGTATTCTTGAAAAATAACACAGAACTTGTAATTCGTATGACACTGATCTGCACATAAATTTTACACACACGACTGTTAGTGCCAGCATTTTTCATATTACCTTTAAAAAAGTCCCTTTTTTATTGTAACATTTTTTACTGGTGCTTCTCTTTTTTTGGTTTATAGTAGGCAGTCAATAACTGTAAGTGACATAATCTATAAGTGGAAAAGGTAAGAGCTTTGACAATATACTGAAAGAAGAAAAAAAGGCTATGAAAGTGATAGCAATATAAAATGGAAAGAATGCACTTTCATAAAATAAAATGCATTTAATGCACAGAATAAAATACAGAAGGTAGGCTGTAGCTAGGGAAACATAAAATTCGTTTCTCTGTTAACCAAACTGCCCTAATATGAAAATTTAAACCTTTTCATTGGAGACAAAACATGTTTATTCTCAATTTAAATATGCCATGTGAAATACAAGCAACTGCCAATTCACTTATATACATATATATTATTTTCAATGTGGGTATTTCATAAGAGTTTACTATTATTCTACTTCAATACCTTTTCAGTAGCATGCCAAGGAAAATTTTTTTAAACAGAGAATTTTGAGGTGTTTTCTGAAGAACATTTTATCCAACACTTGCCGAGAATATTTAAGGATCTAGGGCAGATTCCACAGCCAAAATGGTACAGACAGCTATTGAGACTGAAAACAAGGATCACCTGGGTGCGGTACATTATAAATACACTTCTTATTTCCAGTAGTTAAAGGTAAGCATTTGTTATGATTCACTTTTACAATGGAGGTTATACCAAATATAAAACTTAACATGGACCCTCCAAGCGGGTTTGAATCGTGCTAAAGAAGCTATCTCAGAGAACCACGAAATGATCCCATTCCGCTTTTTATACGCTTGCTGGAGTGATACCGTTTTGCAGAAGAAGTTATCCAAGTCCCTCAATAGAGTACATGTTCACTCGTGTGCTCTACCCTCAAGATGAATTTTAAAGATACCACCAGAATCAAATCACATGCCCTGCCTGTCACAAAAAGACAGGAGAAAAAAAAAAACAACAAAATCCTAGGAATCTGACATCTCTACAGTGTTCACAGATGCAGACATATCTTTATGGGGCTCTATCAGCATAAATCCAATGGCTATGAATAAAACATCGTTTAACTCCGCAGAATTCAATTCCAACTTCACAAGCAGCACATCATGAAATCCCTTGCCCCTGCTAAAAACGAAAGCACAAAAGAAACACACCTCAGTAATAGCACTTTCTTGACTACACTGTGTTCAGGTTTTTGTCAATCCCCAAGCAACTGCTTCCTAATATGTATTTCCAGACCTGCAGAAATGAAGGGAATATGGATTTTCTTCATTTTCAATTACTAGTATAAGCTGGTAGGTGAGCCCATTTATACTCTGATATGGAGAAACATACGTGGGGACAACCATGCCTCCCCCGAGACAGTAAGACACCTACCCCATAATAGTTTGGAGTCAAACACGTGTAGCCACTTCACAGACACAATCCCCACTCTTTAGTTTCCACTGCACGAGAGACAGCTGTTCTAGACCTTATCAAAGAGCTAAAATCTCAAACACCTACAGCTCTTCTGCTCGAAAGAGCATCTCTAGCATTTGGTATTGAACCACAGAAGGTAGTAGAGATCCACATTACATAGCCATATCCCAAATCAAACAAAAGATCATAAAACCCAAGCAAAGTCAACCCTTAAATAGTCAGCCAGTGCTAATAATGTAATCATATCATGAATAAACAAAGCAACGTCATAACAATGCCTGGTATAGACATCATGTTAGGAAAAAGAAAAAGGCTTTTACCCACCTGGGGTCTTTCTGAATGCTATCAATGGACGGGGACCGGGCCAAGGTGCCTTCGGGTGGGAGGGCAGGGCCGGATTTGCTGTATGGAGACTCAACAGAGGGGCAATACTGCAGCTGTCGGTAGGGGTCTGCGTAATTGGCGGCCGGGCCGGCGGCATAGCTGGCTCTCTGGAAGGTGGCTGCGGCGGCGTTCTGCTGGCCATGCTGGCTGCCTGTGCGCTGCAAGGGGACGGAGTCGACACCCGGGGAAGATGGGGCTAGGACAGGAAAGTAGGGACAAAGTAATAAATTGAGGACCTGCTCACAGAAACGGTTAACCAGGTCTAGGCAGGCGGTAAAATTCACACACGCGAAAGAAAAGGGGTTCGGAAGAATAAAAAAATAATCCGTCATACTGGAGCCAATGTAAGGTCAATGCTATCCAGTAAAATAGAAGTTAGTATGCTATTTCAGGAATAAACCTTGAAGATGTTGGGGACAACATAGCATCTGCTGTGACAACGTGGCTTACCAACATCCAATGTGTTAATCTGAAACGCAGCCTGCGTGCAAAACCAAAACCCAGAAAAACCATAGTGGTTTTTTAAATAAGAAATCAAGATGAACGGTTAGCAATTTATTTTCAATTTGAGAAAATACAGAAAGTGTTCAGGTCAGGTTACATTAACTTTATCAAAAGGTGTAGAACAAATTTAGTCATGTGTTCATTTTTCCTGAATAGAAGAAAACCAGGGGAAGTGAGAGGGAGTGTATGTGTGGGGTGGGGGTGGGAGAGGGGGGCTCCTATTTCCATAATCAGCACAAAAGCTGGGCTACTCCAAACCAAAAAAAAAAAAAAAAACCCATTGCCATGGAATCAATGCCGACTCATAGTGACCCTATAGGACACAGCAGAACTGCTCTATAGGTTTTCCAAAGAGCAGCTGGTGGATTCGAACTGCTGACCTTTTGGTTAGCAGCCAAGCTCTTAACCACTGGCTACTCCAGTCCCTGTAAAATTTCCCCAGAGATTTTTATACGCCTCTTTTTCAATTAAAGCTGTCATAGTAACAAATACTTTTGGTGAAGGGTAGACGTGTGGGCAAAAGAGATGAAAATCAACCCAAGCACACCACAGACAAACTAGTGAGCTGATTGCTTTCCCAAAGGTATTTGCATCTTTTCAACTGGTCTAAATTATTTTCAGAAGATTTTACACCAGTTACTAAAATCAGTTTGAACATTTCCCAACTGAATTTCAATTTACTTTTTTCCTTCTGGGGTTCTTTTTAGTTCATTTTATGTCATTATTTTTATCTGGTTGTCAACATTATTTGACTTCTAGGGTTTAGTCGATACAATGAAAACAGCATCTTTCGTATCGATAGAATGTGACTAGTTATTAACTGCTCCGATTGTTATTAGCTCCTATCAATATCAGAGAGCAGGTTTACTTCTGAGCATTCTGGATCAGAATATATCCAGACTACAACTAGTGTTCAGATATGGCCATTTAGAGCATGAGAGCCCTATGTGGAACTGAGTTACGATTACAGGTAGTCCGACTTATGACATACTCAAGTTACAACAAACTGCACTCACGATCCTGTTTTTTTTTCTTTTTTTGGTACATCTTATCGTTAGTAATACGTACTACATACTGTGTTGCAGCGTGTAGTCTGCTGATGTTATCATTTGCAGATGTTTATATGTAATGTTTCCAACCACCAAAGACAAATAAAGGTCAGTTAGAAAGCTACTGATAATAGAAGGCAACGATCATGAAAATCTAAAAAAAAAAAGAGGTATCCGACTTACTTCAAAACCAACTTATGACAGAGTCATTGGACCAGAGCCCCATCAAAAGTCGTGGTCTACCTGTATAAATCACAGGCCACACTTCTGACCTCCTGAGTGTGTCTTTGTGGACCATGGCAGAACAAAGCTTATTTTCTCCTCTCTCACATTAGGGGACACATGCCAAATCAAACACAAAATAAATTAAACCACATCGAGAAAATAACTGTTAAAAGAAGTGAAGAAAAGGGTATTGCGATAAGAAGTTGCAAAGTGAACCAGAGAGACATTCTAAGAACTGATTTTTTAATTAATAGTTCAGCCCTTCTCCTTTCCAATGGACTTTTCATACTTCATCTTATACTAAGAAAAAACTAGGAATGTAGGCGCTGTCACATGGTCAAAACTACAAAGACAGATAAGAAAGACTTTCTAAATAAAAGTCTGTGTATTCAACAGGACTAGTATTTTGAAATGGTGAAAGCTACCCTAACGCGCTAAGTTTCAAAAAACAATTGCTTTAGAGTAATAAACATTAAATTCACAATCAGGGAATCTGTTTTATGTCTGTAGGCAATTTCTTGAGGGTTTACATATATTCTCCAAACTATTACTGTTAACATGTCCAAATTAAAATACACATTGAAAAATCTATAAACAATGCAAATGATTTCAAATTTAGGTCAGGCACAACCATGCTCTTGGCAGAACGATACTAGGGGGTAAACAAAATTTCATTTTCTAGAAGAGTCGCGATAAGCTAGCCAACAAATCAAGGGTGAAAGGGGAAAATGAATTTTCATATAAATACATTTTTTTCCTTTACCTGCTGCCATCAAATTGACTCAGACTCTTAGCGACCCTACAGGACAGAGTAGAACTGCCCCATAGGGTTTCCAAGGCTGTAATCTTTACAGGAGTAGACTGCCACATCTTTCCTCTGAGCAGCAGCTGGGGGGTTCCAACCACTGACCTTTCTGTTAGCAGCCGAGTGCTTTAACCACTGTGCCACCAGAGCTCCTTATTTTTTCCTTTAGTGGGCTCTAAATATCAACATTTAAGCTTGCTGAAAGTGGTTACAAATATCAGAAATTTCTTTCCATACAAAATTATTCATTACTAATATATTAAAATCCAGTGGTTTTACAAGGAGGACAAAGTGTTAGAGATCGGGAAATAATGATGAAATCCAAATAAACATTCTTGTTAAAGCAACAATATACAAACAACAGGACAAGTAATAGGAGAACAAGCAGACTAACCATCCAAAAAATTCTCAAAAGACCTCAAATTAAGAATAACAACAGCAACAAAAGAATATGACAAGTTTAAGAAGAAAACTGCCAAGTAGCAGGAAAAAAATAAAAAATGGAAGAATTAGAAGCTCTACTGAGTCAAAAAAAAGTAAAAACAGTGTGTGAAATTCAATTAATTAAGCAAAAACAGAAAGGCATCATCTCAGTATACGAGGAGGAGGAAAAGGTGGAGGAAAGCCGATGAATATTAGGCTCCTATGTGTATTTTGGACACATACATTTGTATTTGGGCATGAACTTTGGACATGTTTTCAGGAGGGACCAGTCCCTGGAAAAGGACATTATGCTTGGTAAATAGAGGGTCAGCGAAAAAGAGGAAGGCCCTCAACGAGACGGACTGACACAGTGGCTGCAACAATGGGCTCAAGCATAACAACGATTGTGAGGATGGCACAGGACTGGGTGGTGTTTGGTTCTGTTGCACATAGGGTTGCTATGAGACTTGACGGCACCTAACAACGTTTGTATTTTACTTTGGCCTTTTTGGGAGGATTTATCATGGAGCTTGACTGGAGCTTGGCACCCCACTTCAGAAAAGTTGGGTCCCCATCCTAGCTTTTTGGTGTATTCTAGCCTTGGACAAGTTAATTGGTTTTCTAAGTTCTAGTGTCCTAGGCTGTAAGACGAACAGAACAAAATGGCCTCATGGCGTCACTGCTTGGTTTAAATCCATGAAAAGCTTGTAACACCTGATACGTAGAAAATGCTAAACCAATGAGCTGTTATTAGTACTTACCACTAACAGCAACAGCATAAAGGCCATTAGAAAAAAGGATTGTGCCCATTGGATTGGGGCACAAGGCCCTGTGACTATGCAGCAGACATTATAGCTTCTTCTCTGTGCTGGGTATTGTTGGGTTTTAATCATATCACCTCCAATCACCCTGTAAGAGGGTGAGGATGTCATTCTTCTCATTTTACAGATGAGGAAACTGAGGCACAAGGAGATGAAGTAACTCGCCCAAGGTCAGTGGATTGCTAATGGAGCGGCGATTTAAGACTTTGGCAGTTGGCTCCCCCGTTTATGGTTATAACCATTACGGCCATGACATTGGATTAAAAATCTCAACCCAAACCTGTTGCTGTCCAGTTGATTCCGACTCATAGCGACCCTATAGGACAGAGTAGAACTGCCCAATAGGATTTCCAAGGAGCGGCTGGTGGATTTAAACTGCCGACCCTTTGGTTAGCAGCTGAGCTCTTAAGCACTGAGCTACCAGGGAAAGGTGAACCATTACTAAGTTACCTAACATGGTGGGAAATTGTAGAAAACCACTGAGGTCTAAAATGACAAGAAATATCTACTTAAAGTACAGAGAAGAGATGGATTTATTAATGGAATTATCAATCTGAGTATCATTTTGGAAAAAAAGATCAAATTGGTGTATTAACTGATTTACAGTATTTCTCATTAAGCTGAATTTACTGAAAAAATATATAAGAAAATATACAGAAAATTTTTATGCAGAAAATCTAACTTCATTTCTAGGAAAAGCAAAGAATAAGCAACACATACAATTATCTTAGCATTACTTTCCAGTAAAATGTAAGTCTGAGTTAAATCAGTAATATCAATATATTAAGAAAAGAGACCTTGGGATATAAGATGTCAGACGGATAAACAATTTTGAGAAAGGTCATATTAAATCACAATCACATTTGTGGTACTTGAGGAACGGCCCTTCAGAAGGATCCAGAGTTTAAACTTCTTTCAGGTCACAATAAATAAAAGAGCTGATGAGAATTTTAAAATATAAACTCAGAATTCAAATAGAAACTACTACAGTCAACTGAGATAGAGACTAAGCAATGCAATGAAAATAGTTAAAATATCCATTCAAACAGGGGAAGAATATACTATTACATTATGTTAAAGGACAGGTTGTATATACAATCACAGAGAAGAAAAAGTGTGAGCATCTAATAGGTCTCAAACCAACCATCAGTGACGGATCAGTGCATATCTTTATTTTTTTAAAGTATGATATTAAAAAAAATAGATTTCAGGGTACAATTCTCATTTTTACCCTGACTATTCAGACCTTAGGAACTCTGGTGGCACTGAGGTTAAGCGTTCAGCCGCTAACAAAAAGGTTGTAGTTCGAATCCACCAGCCACTCCTTGGAAACCCTCCGGGGCAGTTCTACTGTGTCCTATAGGGTGGC